AAGATTCTCATATAGCTTGTTAGTATATCTACATGTAATAATGGGTTCGCCAATACAGGCTGGCGTCTTCTAATAAAACAATTAATAGGAGAGCTGACATACATTACATCTGCAGCTCTGGACTACACAGAGCAGCTCTTCATGTGGTCCACTATTAATGCTCATGATATCGTGATAAACGCATGCTATCAATTTCGGATAACAAACACAAAGTAAGCAGGGAGCCTTTGATTACACTAAGATGCACGTGTTACCGTCGTTTTACAAAATCATCATAGTGAAAGTCATATCTAGAGGTGATTTTCGTCTTTCAGATATGACAGGTTACAAACAAAAAAGTCGAGAACTTCCTGCTATTTCTAAAGGAGCAGCGATAAGGTGCGTGCACGATCAGTGTTAATAGTTCTATCATGACGTTGTAAGACTATTTTAGTTCTGTGATGACGTAGTGTTGTCATGTGTAGAAATGTCATGACGTAGTGTTGCCATGTGTAGAAATGTCATGACGTAGTGTGGTTCCATGTTCTGTCATGACGTTGTAAGACTATTTTAGTTCTGTGATGACGTAGTGTTGTGATATGTAGAAATGTCATGACGTAGTGTTGCCATGTGTAGAAATGTCATGACGTAGTGTGGTTCCATGTTCTGTCATGACGTTGTGTGATTCTGTTTGTTTTAGTTCTGTGATGACGTAGTGCTGTCATGTGACGTGACACTCTAGTGAAACAGCAGGCCAAGGTAACACGTGACACTCTAGTGAAACAGCAAGCCAAGGTAATACGTGACGTTCTAGTGAAACAGCAGGCCAAGGTAACATGTGACGTTCTAGTGAAACAGCAGGCCAAGGTAACACGTGACGCTCAGCTGTCCTTAATACACCCCAACAACATGTGCAATATGAGAATACAAGTTTGTGACTGTTATTATCCATATCGGTTCTGACGTCAAACTATGTTAAGTCTACTCACCAGCAGGTAAAGTAATTGTCCCAATGTTATGAAGAATCAATTCCTACTCACCTGTTTGATTACGGTATAAACAGATTGTTCAGAAGAGAAATACGTGTTAGAAATGAGCCCTTGAGACTTTAAACGATAGAAAGCATCACTGACACTTCCACACCTGCTTATCAAGTACGTTCAATATGAAATATAAAACATAAAAATATAATTTGATAATCTATCGACTTTGAACAAGAAAAAACTCATTAGTTTTAGAGTATAACGTATTAGATATTACTGTGATAAGTGTGACAATACGGCGTAGCGTGGGACTATAAAGACCTGTGTTGTAAACTTTATCACCAGATACAAGAAAGTAACTGCTATTTTCAATGAAATGGAAATGTAACGACCCATCAATCATTTCCACTTAATATTGGGAGCTCATCCCTCATCCATTTGTGGGATCTTATTCAGTATAACAGGAACATCAATCAGATTTCTTCTGTAAAACAATGGACATCAGCAATAACTGTACCCTTATTATCACACGGGGATCCTGAGAAACATAAACCAAAACCCGTCTTAAAGTCCAGGAGTTTCTTACCGGCTCAATATAGAGGGCAGGGCAAAAACACCACGTAATGAGATACTTCGACAGGAAATATAAAAGTGTTCACTGTATGTGATCCTTCATACACAGTGTGTTTATATAACACTGTAAGTGATCCTACCTAGACAGTGTATTTATATAACACTGCATGTGATCCTACCTAGACAGTGTGTTTATATAACACTGCATGTGATCCTACCTAGACAGTGTGTTTATATAACACTGCATGTGATCCTACCTAGACAGTGTGTTTATATAACACTGTAAGTGATCCTACCTAGACAGTGTATTTATATAACACTGCATGTGATCCTACCTAGACAGTGTGTTTATATAACACTGTATGTGATCCTACCTAGACAGTGTGTTTATATAACACTGCATGTGATCCTACCTAGACAGTGTGTTTATATACCACTGTATGTGATCCTACCTAGACAGTGTGTTTATATAACACTGTATTTGATCCTACCTAGACAGTGTGTTTATATACCACTGTATTTGATCCTACCTAGACAGTGTGTTTATATACCACTGTATGTGATCCTACCTAGACAGTGTGTTTATATAACACTGTACGTGATCCTACCTAGACAGTGTGTTTATATACCACTGTATTTGATCCTACCTAGACAGTGTGTTTATATACCACTGTATTTGATCCTACCTAGACAGTGTGTTTATATAACACTGTATGTGATCCTACCTAGACAGTGTGTTTATATAACACTGTATGTTATCCTACCTAGACAGTGTGTTTATATACCACTGTATTTGATCCTACCTAGACAGTGTGTTTATATACCACTGTATTTGATCCTACCTAGACAGTGTGTTTATATAACACTGTATGTGATCCTACCTAGACAGTGTGTTTATATAACACTGTATGTGATCCTACCTAGACAGTGTGTTTATATAACACTGTATGTTATCCTACCTAGACAGTGTGTTTATATAACACTGTTTGTGATCCTACCTACACTGTGTAGGTGTTCCAGGGGTCTTTGATCATCCCTGGTGGGCTAATATAATTGATGATCCCTGATGGGCTTAAATCATTGATGATCCCTGGTGGGCTGGAATCATCGATCATCCCGGGTGGGCTGGAATTATTGATCATCCCTAGTGGGCTGGAATCATTGATCATCCCTGGTGGGCTGGAGTCATTGATCATCCCTAATGGGCTGGAGTCATTGATCAACCCTGGTGGACTGGAATCATTGATCATCCCTGGTGGGCTGGAGTCATTGATCATCCCTAGTGGGCTGGAATCATTGATCATCCCTGGTGGTCTGGAAGCATTGATCATCCATGGTGGGCTGGAATCATTGATCATCCCTAGTTGTCTGGAAGCATTGATCATCCCTGGTGGTCTGCAAGCATTGACCATCCATGGTGGGCTGGAATCATTGATCATCCCTAGTTGTCTGGAACCATTGATCATCCCTGATGGGCTGGAGTCATTGATCATCCCTGATGGGCTGGAGTCATTGATCATCCCCGGTGGGCTGGAATCATTCATTTATTGTAGAATATGTTATTTTGTTTTAGACACCTTCTTCATGACTAATGCCCATCACCATGGCAACTTGGTTTAGTTTGAAAGATAGCGTGTTATGTAATCAACTGTCATGGTTTTGTAAAACAATGATGGGTGTGTAATGTGAACCGAGTTTTCGGGAACTCTGTATTAGGACTGTCGCCAAATTGACAAGTACTACCACCGTATTCTTTTCCTGCACAAATTATACAAATCACAGTGGCAACTAGCCAATTATTGCCTTTTAAAAGTCGAACGCTTCATTTATACATCTGTTTTTCATGAAGAAGACGTTCCCATGAAAATTATTGTTATTCCAAAAATGCGTTGCAAAGAAAATTACATTTTTGAGTTGGTGCCACAGATTTTTTTATTATTAAGACGAGATTATGTTCTTCATAGTCTATGTTTTTACTGACGATAATATGCATGGACAAGACAGAGGCTATAGGGACGATAGCAGCAACTCATTACATTTCATATTGAATTCAAAAAGATTACACAAACGGAATAGGATAAATTTATATTAAACTTAGGGTATGAACAAATGATGCTGGTAATTTTAGATCATGACTTTTTAGTTATCATTGCCAAATCATTCCAATTTTATCGTGACTGTAGGTGACGAACTGACTGCCGTTAGTAATCTGGCTTACTTTAACTCGCCCAAAAGATGATAACTGACAGTCAGTCACAGCACTGGACGAAGTGGACACTGGTCAACCTATGGATAAGCTATAGAAACGAAAGTGTTTTGACTGGTAACCTGTAATTGTCTGACCGTACACGACACCTGCTGTTGACCATACACAACACCTGTTGTTGACCGTACACGACACCTCCTAATGACCATGCACAACACCTGCCGTTGACCGTACTGCTGTTGACCGTACGCGACACCTACCGTTGACCGTACACGACACCTGCAGTTGACCGTACACGACACCTGCTGTTAAAGGTACACTACACCTACTGTTGACCGTACATGACACCTACTGTTGACCGTACATGACACCTGCTGTTGACCGTACACGACGCCTGCTATTGACCATACACGATACCTGTAGCTGACCGTGCACAACACCTACTGTTATCCGTACACGACACCCGCTGTTGACAGTACACGACACCTCCTGTTGACCGCACACAACACCTATTGTTGTCCGTACACGACACCTGTTGTTGACCGTACACGACACCTCCTGTTGACCGTACACAACACCTGTTGTTGACCGTACACGACACCTGTTGTTGACCGTACTGTTGTTGACCATACGCAACACCTACTGTTGACCGTACACAACACATGTTGTTGACCGTACACGATACCTGATGTTGACCGTACACGACACCTCCTGTTGACCGTACTGTTGTTGACCATACGCAACACCTACTGTTGACCGTACACAACACATGTTGTTGACCGTACACGATACCTGCTGTTGACCGTACACGACACCTCCTGTTGACCGCACACAACACCTATTGTTGTCCGTACACGACACCTGTTGTTGACCGTACACGACACCTCCTGTTGACCGTACACAACACCTGTTGTTGACCGTACACGACACCTGTTGTTGACCGTACTGTTGTTGACCATACGCAACACCTACTGTTGACCGTACACAACACATGTTGTTGACCGTACACGATACCTGCTGTTGACCGTACACGACACCTCCTGTTGACCGTACACAACACATGTTGTTGACCGTACACGATACCTGCTGTTGACCGTACACGACACCTCCTGTTGACCGCACACAACACCTATTGTTGTCCGTACACGACACCTGTTGTTGACCGTACACGACACCTCCTGTTGACCGTACACAACACATGTTGTTGACCGTACACGACACCTGTTGTTGACTGTACTGTTGTTGACCATACGCAACACCTACTGTTGACCGTACACAACACATGTTGTTGACCGTACACGATACCTGCTGTTGACCGTACACGACACCTCCTGTTGACCGTACACAACACCTACTGTTGTTCGTACACGACACCCGCTGTTGACAGTACACGACACCTGCGGTTGACCGTACACAACACCTCCTGTTGACCGTACACAACACATGTTGTTGACCGTACACGACACCTGTTGTTGACTGTACTGTTGTTGACCATACGCAACACCTACTGTTGACCGTACACAACACATGTTGTTGACCGTACACGATACCTGCTGTTGACCGTACACGACACCTCCTGTTGACCGTACACAACACCTACTGTTGTTCGTACACGACACCCGCTGTTGACAGTACACGACACCTGCTGTTGACCGTACACAACACCTGTTGTTGTCCGTACACGACACCTGTTGTTGACCGTACACGACACCTTCTGTTGACCGTACACAACACCTGTTGTTGACCGTACACGACACCTGTTGTTGACCGTACTGTTGTTGACCATACGCAACACCTACTGTTGACCGTACACAACACATGTTGTTGACCCTACACGATACCTGCTGTTGACTGTACACGACACCTCCTGTTGACCGTACACAACACCTACTGTTGTTCGTACACGACACCCGCTGTTGACAGTACACGACGCCTGCTGTTGACCGTAAACAACACCTGTTGTTGACCGTACACGACACCTGTTGTTGACTGTACACGACACCTCCTGTTGACCGTACACAACACCTGTTGTTGACCGTACACGACACATGTTGTTGACCGTACTGTTGTTGACCATACGCAACACCTACTGTTGACCGTACACAACACATGTTGTTGACCGTACACGACACCTGTTGTTGACCGTACACGACACCTCCTGTTGCCCGTACACAACACCTGTTGTTGACCGTACACGACACCTGTTGTTGACCGTACACGACACCTGTTGTTGACCGGACACGACACCTCCTGTTGACCGTACACGACACCTCCTGTTGACCGTACACAACACCTGTTGTTGACCGTACACGACACCTCCTGTTGACCGTACACGACACCTGCTATTGACTGCTTCGACGCTTGCTCTACAGGTCACATATCATCATTAGGAATTGACACGGTATTGGCGACAAAGATAAATGTTTTGTTGTGAAATACGTTCAGTACCCATACAACTCTACACTAGAGTTATAACTAAATATTTCTACGGGAAATCTTCTTAACTCGATTTGTAAAAAAGCAGTATTTGTTGATTTTCCTAGTCTTAGTAATTACTTAAGAAATGCGATATGAAGTTTTTTTTTTTCAATTTCTGCAGCTTTGTGATAACCCCTGATTTCAGAACCATACATTAAAAAGACTATTTTACTAAATATCAAGTACAGCAAGACGAAATTCAATATTAAAAACATTCTTTCTACAAACATTATTGACGTATAATACTTTTCGTCCTTTCCCATTAACATTTAAAGCATGACCAAGGTGATTAAATTCATCTATCATTTCAATTCCTTCTACCGTAAAACATTTCTCCTTCGTAAGTATTTAACCACCATTCCTAAAGATGTTGTCTTACTTACAGTTAAACTCCATTTTCTACTATACTCCCCTAATGAATCTAGTATTTTCTGTAAGTCATCTGGTGTTTCAGATAAAATAACCATGTCATTTGTATACATACGTAAAAAACGTTCATAGTCTGGATTTCTATTGATGAACAACTCTTTTTTATAAAATAATTTTTTAAAACATTAACAAATAAAGTAATTAAAAAGGGAATACAATATTTGCCCCTGAAATAATCCACAGTCACATTTGAAGAAATCAGTTATACCACTGTATTTAACACAACTTCTTACTTTGTCATAGAGATTTCTAATAATTTTCAGAAATTTCCCATCTATCCCTTCCTTAATCATTTTATACCAAAGATTTTGACGACTAACAAAATCAAAAACTTGTTTGTAGTCAAAAAACAACAATAAAATCTACGACGATTTTAAGAGTTCTATTGATCAGAGACTGTGATACTATATAGAATAACATGCATTGTCGATAGGTCTTTTCTAAATCCAAACTCTACATCGATAGAATAAGTTTTATCAATGCTTTATCAATCTCTCATTGAGTATAGCTGTTAAAAGTTTACCAAGACAAATTACTTAGGTAATACCCCTATAATTAACTGTTACAAACACATATTTTTAAATAGTGGTATATCTCCAATATTCCAATTATCCGGGAAAATCCAGAGCTGAAGATTCTGCTATAAAGCACTTTCAAACAAGCGGCCAAAATATCTTGACATGCTACAAAAAGTTCACAAACCGTCAAGTCCACAAACTTTATTACGTTTTAAATTACCGATTACATGTAAAACCTCTCTCTCGGTGATATCTGTATCTAATTCTTCATAAGGATTCATATCATTACCTGAATTATCGTACTTCTTCATGAATCTGTCAACATCATCATTTAGAGTCAAATGATGCCAGATTTTTGATGTGTTAAAAGAAATCATCGTTCATCAAATCACTTTCTTTGACTCTTGACCCCTTGACCTCTGTAAATCCTATTTCATATAGGATGATGTCGGTAACGACCTTAACCTTTATTACTAAACAATTGTCCGATTATCTCCCTTATACATTACTCCAGTATAAACGTATCCAAACAAAAACATAATTATTACCCGATGAACCTTTCGGGAATGTTACAATTACAACCCCCATAGTGATAAACATAGTACCCAGCACGTGATGGCAGAAACAACATAGCATTGTATTTACCCAAGTCATGTGTATGTGATGAGATTGCTATACAGAGCTAGAAGAAGTGTTTTCATATTACGTATAAATTGAACTAATTGAAATAGATTTACAGAAAGGCACCCATATGGTAAAGGCATTCGCCTCTTTTCTATCACTAGACTTCCGTTTCTGTGACCAGTCTCCCCTTTCCTATCACCAGACTTCCGTTTCTGTGACCAGTCTCCCATTTTCTATCACTAGATTTCCGTTTCTGTGACCAGTTTTCTCTTTTCTTTCAGTAGACATCCGTTTCTGTGTCCAGTCTCCTCCTTTCTATCACTAGACTTCCGTTTCTGTGACCAGTCTCCCCTTTTCTATCACTAGACTTCCGTTTCTGTGACTAGTCTCCCCTTTTCTATCACTAGACTTTTCGTTTTCTGTGACCAGTCTCCCCTTTTTCTATCACTAGACTTCCGTTTCTGTGACCAGTCTCCCCTTTCCTATCACTAGACTTCCGTTTCTGTGACCAGTCTCCCCTTTCCTATCACTAGACTTCCGTTTCTGTGACCAGTCTCCCCTTTTCTATCACTAGACTTCCGTTTCTGTGACCAGTCTCCCCTCTTCTATCACTAGACTTCCGTTTCTGTGACTAGTCTCCCCTTTTCTATGACAAGACTTCCGTTTCTGTGACTAGTCTCCCCTTTTCTATCACTAGACTTCCGTTTCTGTGACCAGACTCTCCTTTTTCTATCACTAGACTTCCGTTTGTGTGACCAGTCTCCCCTTTTCTATCACTAGACTTCCGCTTCTGTGACCAGTCTATCGTCTCTGTATCATTAATATCTCTCGGGTTACGTTTATGTGTCCCGTATGTGCAGTCTTTCGTCCGTTTTTTTTTTTTTTTTCTAATATTGCATGTGAACCATGTCTCTTCGTTACCTAGATCTCAAATAATTGTGTTCTTAGGTGTGCTTCGCTATACGAGGCTCTCATCATTAATGGCAACTTATTACAAGTAATTTTATACAATCTGTATAAAAAAACAGTCACTGCATTTGAAGTTTTATTGTATTTGTCATAGGATACAAAATCCGACTCTACAAGAAACACTCTTACAAATATAGATATCACAGTCATTTCTGTACTCATCTTGTGATACAAAATCTGACTCGACAAGACACACTACAATATAGGTATTACAGTCATTTCTGTACTCACCTTGTGATACAAAATCCGACTCTACAAGACACACTCTTACAAATATAGGTATCACAGTCATTTCTGTACTCACCTTGTGATATAAAATCTGACTCGACAAGACACACTACAATATAGGTATTACAGCCATTTCTGTACTCACCTTGTGATATAAATTCTAACTCGACAAGACAAGACACACTACAATATAGGTATTACAGTCATTTCTGTACTCACCTTGTGATACAAAATCTGACTCGACAAGACACACTACAATATAGGTATTACAGACATTTCTGTACTCACCTTGTGATACTCTACAGGAAACACTCTTACAAATATAGGTATCACAGTCATTTCTGTACTCACCTTGTGATACAAAATCTGACTTGACAAGACACACTACAATATAGGTATCACAGCCATTTCTGTACTCACCTTGTGATACAAAATCTGACTCGACAAGACACACCACAATATAGGTATCACAGCCATTTCTGTACTCACCTTGTGATACAAAATCTGACTCGAAAAGACACACTACAATATAGGTATCACAGCCATTTCTGTACTCACCTTGTGATACAAAATCTGACTCGAAAAGACACACTACAATATAGGTATCACAGCCATTTCTGTACTCACCTTGTGATACAAAATCTGACTCGACAAGACACACCACAATATAGGTATCACAGTCATTTCTGTACTCACCTTGTGATACAAAATCTGACTCGACAAGACACACTACAATATAGGTATTACAGTCATTTCTGTACACACCTTGTGATACAAAATCCGACTCTACAAGACACACTCTTACAAATATAGGTATCACAGTCATTTCTGTACTCACCTTGTGATACAAAATCTGACTCGACAAGACACACTACAATATAGGTATTACAGCCATTTCTGTACACACCTTGTGATACAAAATCCGACTCTACAAGACACACTCTTACAAATATAGGTATCACAGTCATTTCTGTACTCACCTTGTGATATAAAATCTAACTCGACAAGACAAGACACACTACAATATAGGTATTACAGCCATTTCTGTACTCACCTTGTGATATAAAATCTGACTCTACAAGACACACTCTTACAAATATAGGTATCACAGTCATTTCTGTACTCACCTTGTGATATAAAATCTAACTCGACAAGACAAGACACACTACAATATAGGTATTACAGCCATTTCTGTACTCACCTTGTGATACAAAATCTGACTCGACAAGACACAACACAATATAGGTATCACAGCCATTTCTGTACTCACCTTGTGATACAAAATCTGACTCGAAAAGACACACTACAATATAGGTATCACAGCCATTTCTGTACTCACCTTGTGATACAAAATCTGACTCGAAAAGACACACTACAATATAGGTATCACAGCCATTTCTGTACTCACCTTGTGATACAAAGATACAAAATCTGACTCGACAAGACACACTACAGTATAGGTATTACAGTCATTTCTGTACACACCTTGTGATACAAAATCCGACTCTACAAGAAACACTCTTACAAATATAGGTATCACAGTCATTTCTGTACTCACCTTGTGATACAAAATCTGACTCGACAAGACACACTACAATATAGGTATTACAGCCATTTCTGTACACACCTTGTGATATAAAATCTGACTCTACAAGACACACTCTTACAAATATAGGTATCACAGTCATTTCTGTACTCACCTTGTGATATAAAATCTAACTCGACAAGACAAGACACACTACAATATAGGTATTACAGCCATTTCTGTACTCACCTTGTGATATAAAATCTGACTCGACAAGACACACTTCAATATAGGTATTACAGCCATTTCTGTACTCACCTTGTGATATAAAATCTAACTC